GAGAAACTGGAAACATCAAATCGCCCCAAACCTAAACATTCCAGAACAACTAGCTTCGTTCTAACTACCAAAGAAGAACTTTACAAATTTATTGGAATCTCTATTAGAAGGACAGATTCGATTCCCAATTCTGCGAAAACTTTTCTCATATGATCCATTATACTACCATCCTGTGTTTTCCTATGTTATGTCAGGACGCCGATATGAACAGCTGCTTAGATGTTTCAACTGCACCAATGACAGAGACAATACTGATAGACTCAATAAAATAAGTGAATTATTGAAGATTTTGCTTGGTAACTATCATAGTGCTTACACTCCCGAAGAAGCCTTGTCACTAGATGAGTCACTATTGCTACATAGAGGGAGGCTGAGCTTTAGGCAATACATAAATGGAAAAAAAGCATGGAATTAAGTTTTACGAGCTATGCACAACAAAAGGTTATACTTGCAACATCGACATCTATAAAGGTAAACAAGCAGAAGAAGCAAATATGACAAAGTTACAGACTCTCGTGTTCAGGCTTCTATCCCCTTTCTTAGACAAGGGACATCACGCTATTATGGACAACTATTATAACAGCGTTCCTCTAACAAACAAATTACTTGATCTGAAAACTCATATAACAGGAACCCTTAGGTCAAATCGCAGAGGAAATCCTAAAGAAATTACCACTAAAAAACTCCAGAGAGGTGAGCATAAATGGTTGCGAAAGGGGAAAGTGTATGTGTCCAAATGGAAAGATAAGCGGGAGGTACTGATGATTACCTCCAAATTTCATCCAGAAATGATTCAGACAACCAATTCTCATAACCAAACTAAAATTAAACCAAAAGAAGTCTCTGAATACAACCTAAATATGGCAGGGGGCGACAGAAGTGACCAGCTGACGTCTTATTACAGCTGTCCACGAAAATCGATTCGCTGGTACAAGAAGGTGATGTTTCATCTAATATATGTTTCTGTTGTCAACAGTTTCCTTCTTTATCGGGAAATTACCAAATCGAAAATGAACCTCCTTAGTTTTCGAGAGGCTATCATAAAGGGTCTACTTGAAATTTCAGCAAATGTAAAAGATGGGCGGAAACTAGTCAAGCGTGGGGCGATAAATAATCCCAGAGAATGTTCAAAACCATCCCTTATTGGACCTCAATTAGCTTTACAACATATTTTGGAAAAAATTCCCTTGCCTGAAGGTTACAGCAGAAAAAGTTACTTTTTGAGATGTCGCCAATGTTCGAAAAATGGGAAAAGGGGACAGACATCATGGCGGTGTTCTGCATGCGAAGATAAGCCACCCTTGCAAATTTTCACTCATAATAGGTTTTTCCACGAATATTTTTCTATAATTTGACGTTTTATTTTTGCATTATATGTTTTTTTTAAGGTTTTTCTAAGAAAATGTGCCTTGTTTATTTATGTAATAATTTTATAATAAAATCTATAAAAATGTTCGCAGTTTTTTCTCTATTTAGTCAACATTTGTTCTTACTACTACACGTCTGCAATAGCAGTTGTGTGTCCTAGCACATACAACATGTTTTAAAGTGTATTTCTGAAAAAAGGGAACTTTGGTTTTCACTGTATAAATGTGTAGATTTTAGTAACCACTCTAATTAAATTTTTTCAAGTAGTACTTTAACGAAAGACCAACGTCATTAATGATGTACAACATAATTTGTATTAAAAATACTATATGCTTCCATTTATCAATATTGAAAAATCAATTAGAAGTGTTTTTAAAAATTGGAATGATAATACAAATTTAGGAGATTGTAAACAATTCAAAACGATAACCATGCGAATCATAGCTGCATCAAGAGAAATATTTATATTTCGTCAGAAAATATACTCAAGAAGAATAAACAGATGTAATCGTTATTAAGATAACAGAACAATATATTGTTATAATTTTCGAGATTACCTTCAAAAAAATTATCTTAAAAATTAATGAAATTTTTTAAATATGTATATCAAAATATATGACTAATTATTTCTGTGCTCTATAGCATTTCCCTAGCTTCTTCTAAGTCTTTGGGCCCTTTTTTTTGTTATCTTGTTTCCACTAAATGAGTTGCGTTTATTTATTCTTGTATTTACATTTTTTACACGTGTCCGAACAGAAGAAGCTTTTTACCATATTTAGATTTATTCTACAAATAGTTTATTACAAATTTATAACCACTTTTTCATTTAAATGTGTTGCTGTCTCGTAAAACCGTTGGTGACACAAAGTTCATTAAAGGGGGGAAATATTTTATATTTTGAAGCCCAAGGAGGTTTAGAAAACCAAAATATCAGCGCCCGTTTCCGAGATATTCTGTGAAAAACTTTTAATACACGTTTAATCTAAAATACAATGATGTAAAAAAATGTTGTGATTAGTCATTTTTTTTTAAATCATCAGGTAATTGAACAATGAACATAGCATATTTCGTTAATTTTATTTCTGTAGTATAAATTTCAGTAAAGTTTTCGATTTAACTTTCGTGAGTGTAAAAAAATATTTTAACAGTGACATCCCATGCAACATCATGCCGTCATTATGACGTGATTTTTTGATGACGTGAAAATAACGTGAGAATGTCACAGCGAACTGACGTCATTCCATATCGTCATTTTGACAAATCGATATCACGTTAAAGTAACGTGTATATCAGGTGTCCTAGGCTAGGCAAATTGATGTCATTATCACGAATCTACCTAACGTCAAAGTGACGTCTATATTGGGTGTCCCAAGGTTGGATGGAATTATTAAAAATACTAATCCGAAAAATACATGAAAAATATATTATAAAAAATAAATTACACTGGTAAATAAAAAAGTCATGTGCAAGAAACCAAAAGGAATAAATTGACAAAATAATATTAGAGGAACTGACACAACATACCTAAAATTGTAGATTTGATTTTAATTGGGGGTGGGCAAGCATGCTTTACGATTTCATTGAATGACAGCTTTCTAGTTGGCACCTGTTTTCTTTTAGTAGGTACTTTATCAGCCTCGGAATGTAGATCTGAGGTAACTTTGACTTTTTTTAATTTGGTACATTACTTATCATTATCATCTAAAATAAAAGAACTATTAAAATACATACCACTGAAAATTCTTAAAGATAGAACGTAAATTGTGTATCTAGTTGTAAAATTTGAGGGGATTACTTCACCGGAGATTGAGGTAGTAGCCCCAAAAACTACCTTCTCAGAGGTATACATATAGTCTGAGTTTATAATAAAAGTTATTAAAAAAAAGATCATATATTCTGTGAGACGATAAAAGGTATCTAAATCAAGTGACCCCCTACAAATCTTTTATTTTTAAATAAACTATTAAAAAATACCCTGAAAGAACTCATAATTAAAAAATAAAAGTATAACATTACTCACCAGTCTTATATTATATTTCTTTATATATTTCTTTATAAAGGCGGCCAAGACTTGTTTTTTAAGCAGCATCAGCCATTTTCTGCTCACCTCACAACCGCCAGACCGTCATCATCCGGCTTTTTAAACTCAACAATGCCATACATTTGTAAAACACCAAATTCGGTTTAATATACTTTATTATTTTGTCACATTCTATTTTTTACCTTTTTCTAAAACATCTTATCAAATAAAGTACAATTTAAAAATGCACCACGTTCACGAGGTCACGGCTGTCACAAGAATTATGAAGATGGAGGAAACAGGAAACAACAATGACAATTGACATATGACATTGCCAGAAATAACGAAAAAATAACGTAATTAAGACGAATTCTAAGTGACGTCTATTCTTTGTCATCAATGCGACGTCAAATACACGTTACTGATTAAGATATTGTATTTCGGATAAATTAATACCAAAAAAATTACGTCATAATGACGAGTCTGTCTTGACGTCTAATTAACGTAATAAAAACGACGTCAAACTAACGTCATTAATTGGGATAGTAACGTTTCTGACGAGTAAACCCAAAAAAATCACGTTATAATGACGGCACTTTGCTGCTTGGGATAATTATAAAAATGGCATCGCAAAATATTAAAAAAATTAATAAATTAACGAATAGGTATACAAAAACGATAAAATTTAAAAAATAGAGGAGGAAACCACATCATGAAAAATCCAGTTGCGACTGATATTTTAGAAAGAAGTCATACGATTGAATATTAGTCGCCGTAGCTATAATCATAGATTAGGGTAAAGTGAATAGATGGGAAACTTAATGGTAACATTCTGAGGTATGTGTTGCGATCTATCAAATTGAAGTGGTACTAAAATTTAATATGGCCACAACGAGCAGGCTTTTTGAAATTTAACTTTGTGGTAGCTGGGCAAAAATGTAATGAAGAAAATCAAACAAAAAAAAAATAAATTGGAAAAATATTTGACTAGTTTTAAATCATAAAACAACCATATTGACTGTTTTGTGAATTAAAATTAGTCAAATATTTTGCCAATTTATATTTGTGTTTGATTTTACTTCATTATATTTTTGCATTAATTTCAAACTTGAAATAAAATGCAATTTATTTTATTTTATTTTTTTTATTACAGTAAATTAACACCGCATCATATAATTTGTGTATTTAAACATGGAAATAATCAATGCAAATATGCATTTACACCATTTAAATAATTAAATATATATAAAACAAACCTATCAAAAATGTTTTCTGTAACAAAATCGGCATATATAACTGCTTTATAAAAGTTTTGCGACTTGGAGTGCCAATGTGGCAAATAAGTTTGAAAAAATTGAAGTTGAAGCATCATCCTTTTGGTGTCTTACTATCAAGGCGGATTTGAGTGTGGATAAAATTTGCCATGCGCTTATTGAGTCGACTAGTTAGGTTGAGAAGCATTTCTTCATTCGATAATTATTTTATTGATTTATTTGTACAGCACTTGAAGTTATCAAATTCTTATTCATCATCTGGGCACTGTGATAAATGAATTTAACTTTCGAGAATAAAATAAACTTACAAACGTTAGGAGCTAGGAGTGGAAGGAGCACTATCGATCATCCAAAGAGTAACTTATATTTTCCAAAATTAATTTGTTGCCTCGTATGAAGCAATGTTTGCCTTCTTCCTTATATTTCAAAACATATTCCTTAAGTTGTTTATACTGAGCTCTTTGAAGTTCAGTTAAATCATTCGCAACAAAAACTCCTCTATTCTTTAATTTATTGAAATTGAGAAAAATACTTCTTTTTTTGAGAAAGCTACAAAATTCAATTATTACATGAGCGTTGAGGTCTTTTCCCACAGAGTATAAGTTTGCAATATCCGAATACATTAAACTTATGTCGAAAAGCTTATTAATTATATCGATGATAAAATTTATAATTATGGTATTATTGGGTGTTTTAAGACCAAATATAATTAAGTTGTTTCTTTTTAGAGTTATTTCCAACTGTTCAACTTTATTTTTTAATTTGAAATTGTCTTCTTGCAGATCTCTTACTGTTTTACTTTCTAGTTCAATAGACGACTGTAATCTTCTTTCACAGGAACTTAATGCATTCTTAAGCTCAGTTTTGTTACTCTCCATTACATTTATAAGCTTTTTGAATTTTCTTCGAGTAGTTTTTTGATAACTGCCTCCTTCATGATTTAACAACAATAAATTTGTGTAAACGTAGTTTACTAAACGAAATATTGGATACAATATAAATGAATTTAATAAGTATCTCTTGATATTATCTTCACTATCTCAAGCACAAAAACTAGTACCAGCGTTAATTGATATATACTCCAGTAGAATAAATGATGAAAAGTATGCAAAGATTTCGTATTAATCAAGTGTTTTTACTCACAGTTATAAGAGTGGTAAACTAATCACTTTTGTAATCATTGGTTCATAATTCATAATTTTTGGAAAATTAGAACCATAAAAATATTTAAACTTAAACAGGAGCAATTTTACAAACACCATACACTAAACTACGTTTACATACTGTTTCGTTTTAACATCATACTTTTACGACCACATATTCAAAACCAATATCTTTCATCAATCTACATAGGGTTCTTAAAGAGAACAATGGTGAATTATCATTCCCTCGTGTATGTATTTTGATTACAAATATATATTTCTATTGAGCAACCCCCGTGTCACGTATCGCAACATTCGCGCGTCACAAGCAGTTTGGGACGTAGGCATACGGTAGCTAGGCAAGGTGTTGTTTTGGGAAATGTCAACAGAAAAAGATTCAAATTATTCTTGTAATCTCTATTTTTTTTATTATTTTGAAATCAAAACCCTCTAACATAGTTGGTAAAAAAAAAATTGTATAAAATATTTTATTTGAAAAATTATAAAACATTTATTTTAAAGTCGAGGATAACTCTAGACATATCCATTTTACTGAAAAAAAAAAAGACACTATATTAAATGATATCATTTAGTTATTAAGAGATGTTTGTGATAATACAGTGTCGGCTATCGTTGTGCTAATGTCCAAGTGGAAACAACAAAGAGTTAGCATTAGTGCAAGAAGGAATGGAATACTATGAACATAACCAGCCGGCTACGTGGGGATGCATCGCACCGTGTGCCTGTTCATATTACACAGCACACAAAGCAACATTAATATTATTAGTTTCCTGATCGCACTAATGCTAACTCTTTAGCTTTCGCTTTGATGCTAGCCAAGCCTATTGGAAAGTATTCAATAACCGATACTGTATATAAATTCTAAACTCAACAAGAGAAATAAATTTTTTTAGTTTAAATGGACTCCTACTTCGAAAAAAGAGAAAAACTGAAAATTATTATACTTGCATTTTAAAGGCTGTTGCCATTGGAAAACTATTATCTAGGGCTTGGATGACAGCCATAGTACTCCGTCCTTAAATTGTGTCCATAGGAAAGCATAAGATCTTAGGTAAATTATAATATTAGAGGGTATTAACTAAAAACTATGAAAAATTATTACAAACTTACGTCAAAAGTGGCACCTACATTAAAAGAAGGGAAAACTGAAACATAAAATTGTTATACATGAATTTTAAAGGCTTTTCCCACTGAAAAAGTATTATCTAGGGCGGGGATCCTTGGATGACAGCCATAGCAATCCCTCCTTGATTCCTCTTTTTCTGAGTTTGTTGTACGTTTTGTTTCCCATATTAAATAAGTAAGCACTTAATACAACAACACAAATCACAATAAATATCGCTGAAACAAAATTAATATAGGTATAAATTTCGTAGAAGAAAAAATCAAAAAATTATCACTTGTCAATATTGACACTTCATGCTTCGCTTGTCAAAAACTTCCTCTTCAACCAATGAACGAGCCGATGTTGGACGTGTCAAAATTCAAAACGATACTAGCGCCATGAGGCCTGTGTCTGGCCGCAGCGTAACTCAAAGCCATTTCTTGAATCCCAGTAACATTACTATTGGGGATATATTGTGGGATGATATATTGACATTAACTAAATCAGATATCTCTCTTATTGTGTGATTTATCTGCATCAATCTTAAAATATTCACCAAATCTGCAGACGTAAGTCGCGCCATTTGGACGATATTATTTTATGCAATCTAACGTCAAAACTTTATATCTATAATAATATTTTTATCGTCTTCTTAATAAAAATGCAGAAATAAAAATTCGTCAAAGCAAATGTCCCTAATTACATTGGAACCCCCATTAACTTTCAGAGATACAAAAAAATGTTTCTAAAATATTGACATGTGAAAATCGCAAACTTTGGCACCGTAGAATACAAAAACGGTTTATTAATTTTTTCACGCCTCTGAATTAGTCAAAATAAAACTAATTACAGATATGGTACATTTTAAACTATAACGCTTAACAAAAATTTTACCATTTTCTTTACACATTATTCCTTGATGCAGTTTAGTTGGTATCTGTTATTCTTTAAGTATCTGTATCTGTAACGTGTGGAGGGTGGATTACCCCCATGGCACTTAGGCCTCACTAGGCCCATTGTGCATCCTACTAATATGATAGGTACCTCCTAGCTCGTGAGCCAACCTACAGATTTGATATAGTTGACAACGTTGCTTCTCTTATGTCGACCGAAAACAAACCTTCTAATAAATGAGAGCGTCGAGCAATCGTAGAGGATATGCTCGATAGTCTTATCTTCTTGTTCGCACCCTCTACAGAGTGCGGATTCTGATAGCCCTATGATATGAAGATGCTTCCTTACTTGGCAATGACCAGTCAAAATGCCTGTGACTAGGCGCAGATTTTGTTTAGTCATAGTCAAGTATTTGTTTGCTGCAGTGTTGTCAGGAAAACTTAAAAGCTCCCTGGAAACTCTACAGTTTCTTGTTTCATCCCATCTTTCCTTGAATTTCACAAGGAAATGTTCTTTAATTAGGTCTGTCACTACCGATTTTGTCAGACCAATAGATGGGCCAGGTCCAAAAAGTATTAGGTTGGCTGCTTCCTTGGCCAGTGAATCAACAAGACGGTTATAACTCGATATAGCGCGACCTTTGATCCATCTTAAGGTGACCACGTTGTTAATGGATACTTCGGCCAAAACTTCGTGATATTCTTGTACTAACTCTGAATAAATTCATGGTCTGTTCAGGGTGAGTAGTTCTTGTCTGCTATCTGTATAGATAAGCATGTTCCTTTCAGTGATATTGTTTCTGGTGATTTATTTTAATCCTATGATAATCCCCGTAAGCTCTGTTTGAACTAAACTGGCACTATTGCTCACAGCCCATTTTATGTTAAGGTTTAAGGATCTGGAGTATATTCCACATCCTGAGCCTTATTTTGTTTTAGAACCGTCAGTGTAGATATGAATCGTACCTGCCACTTGCGGCGCTTTTATTTGTTCTGTTACAACTTTATATGGCTTATGGAAGATATATCTCGGTGAGATCGAGTCCATGTTCGCTTGAAGCAATGGGAGCGTATCGAGCACCTCCTGCCAAAAGTCACGTCTCGCCTCACCAGATCCTACATCAGGTTCTATTTCAACAGTGCGGAAGCGTGTCATTGTCGTCAGAGCAACCTCCTTGATGTAAATATCAAGGGGAGTGAGACTAAGATTTCCATGACTCTGGTTGGTGTTGTTTTCATGACTCCTGTTATCTTGAGACATGTTGTTCTTTGAATTTGTTTTAGTTTACGGATAGCTGTCAATTTTCAAGTTTTCGGTACACAGACAACTGCACTGTATGTTAGCATAAGTCTTATGATAGCAGTGTAAGTCCATGTGACGACTCTGGGGGAGAAACCCCAGGTGCACCCCACGGTTCGGCGGCAGTGTTCATAAGCAATGTATGCTCTTTTGACGCTGTTTTCTAAATGCGAGTTCCATCTTAACTTGCTGTCAAAGGTGAGACCTAAGTATTTTACCTCTGTTGCAAAGTTTAGTTTTGTGTTTAGGAGTTTTGGAGGTTTTAATTCCATTTTCATCCTTTTCCTTGTAAAAAGGACCATTTTAGTCTTCTTAGAATTGATAGAGAGTAAATGGTCCTATATTTCTATAATTTTGAGAGGTTCCTGCATTCTTTCGCAGAGTATGTTCTCATAATTCCCTGTTTGCATAATGACCAGGTTATCTGCATATACTATTGTGTTGACTATCATAATTGAGGCGGCTGATGAGGGTGTCGAGGACCATGTTCCACAGTAGAGGTGAAGCAGCCTGTGGACATCCCCTCGCAACCAATCCTCTTCTACACTTAAGTTTAGTCCTCCATTTGAGAGCATGTTATGTATCCACCCGCTTACCATCTGTGGAACATTCCTGTTGGTTAGTGAGTGTATTATCTTGGAAAAGGGGGTTTTATCAAAAACACCTTTTATGTCTATGAAAACACCCAAGGCGACCTCCTTATTGCCAGGGATCACTTTATCCGGTCAGCAACTAGATGAAGGATTGAATCAGTCGATCTGCATATTGGTTTGGGTGTAATGGTCTTGTTGTAATTACCGCATTCCTTATGTACCTTTCGCATAGCCTTTCTAATGTCTTCATGGAAAACGATGTCAGACTAATTGGTCGGTATGTTTTTGAGACAGTGTAATCCATCCTTTCAGGTTTGGGTATCAATACCACTTTTACCTTTAGGTAAAAAAAGGCTATTTTTTAAAGAGAAATAGAATTTTATAAAATGGCGATATTTTCCTTGCACGCAAAGTATCAAAAAATGACAAAGATGTCCAGAGGTGTCGACCTAGTGATCCACTCAACATCAGAAAGAACTTGAACTCTCCCCCCAGCAGTTTACATTGCCTCTTCCTGGCCCCATACTACATTCTCGATGTGTCCCGAACTATAGTGAAAACCATTTTAAATGTTAAGGCCGCAGTATCACTGTATTTTTCATATAAGAAGCAAGGGTTTACCATTTCCGATTGCATTTAAATCCCGCTAAATGTATTAAAATGAATCTTCTACTAGCTTAAAGTATAAGGTTTGGAGAATGAAATCTCCTATTTTTTATTTGTCCTGTTTATACACTGAATTTTAAAAAATATCATAAAAAATGATTTTAAAACCAGAGGCTAAAAAGTAAGAGATTACATTCTACATATTTTTCCAAGTATCCCGCCAAAATATTTCTAAATTTTATTGCGTATTTTTCAAATCTAACTGGAAATACGATTAACAAATATTTGATAAATTTATTTGTCAAATTAGAGATTTTCTATGAATTCCTGTAATTGTGTGTAGTTCATCTATTTTTAAGAAGATGTCACCGTAAAAAACATGTAGCTACTCTGTTTTAGAGATGGTTTTAATAGGTAAATAATTGTTGTACCAATTTTTGAAACAGTGATACAGCGGTATGCCGTCTTTTATTGTTTCGTGATTTTCATATATATTTGTCTCGTTTGGTTCCAAATTATCGATTGATTTTGCCTGTGTATGAACAAGTGTTGACCACGTTGCCAGATTATCGATTTATACGATAATTTTACAATTCTTTCTAGGACGAATTTGATTTTAAAGTGGGTGAAATATACAATGGTGAACTGCA